TCCCAGAGTGCTAGGATTTAAATCTCTCTTTTTTTTAACTTTACAAACAAGCAGATTCCACAAAGGCTTCTCTCTCATCTGTCCTTTAAGAATTAATCAACCAGAAAACATTTATTCTGTTTACCTGGACGTCTGATGGCAGGATCAGGATCAAGTGTTTTCTTTAAATATTCTGTTAGTGTTTGTAAATTTGCATCGCTGAGCTCCATTGCTATAGAATCTAAAATAAAAAATAAGGTTTGGGTAATTGGTCACTTGTGGACACAGCAATTTACATTAACAAATCCTTTTACCAGCCTGAGCAACATAGTGAGACCCCATCTCTACAAAAAAATTAAAAAAAAAATTGGCCGGCTATGGTGGTGCAGGCTTATAGTCCCAACTACTTGGGAGACTGAGGCAGAAAGATAATTTGAGCCCAGGAGTTTGAGGTTGCAGTGAGCTATGATGACACCCTTGCCCTCATGTCTGGGCAACAGAGTAAGAACCCGTCTCAAACAAAAAAACCAAACCCAACTTTTCATAATTCTTTGCCCTCTGTGAAAATCATTCATTTGTTATGTTTTCAATATGGGGCTACAAGTCTGACTCTTAGCTGGAGAGTTCAGAAGATGGTTTTTTTTTTTTTTTGAAACAATGGTGAAATAATTTTGAGCTAAGGAATTAGAAAAACATCCCAAAATTTCAAAAAGACAGGCATAGAAAAACAAAGCTGAAGAATTGCTCAAAGTCACCCATAACTTTATCTAATTTAATGCTATGAGAAAGCTAATAAAGGCTGAGACAATCACATGAGGAACTTTAAAAAATAAAAGTCCTACAGTGACAATTAAAATTTTAAGCAGTAAAGATTCCATAAAAAGTTCTAAGATTAAAGAAATCAGAATAAATTCCTTCGTTTACAACATGTAATCAATCACAAATACTACAAACTACAAGCTGAGAATTTGCATTTAGGGAGATAATTCTGAAGTTCAGAAGATGACAGCTGTGATTATAATTAAAAGTTTTCTTACTTAAAGCTTAAACAAAACTAACTCAGAATTTGCTTATGACTGACCAAAAAAATTCACATCTGATTACAAATTTTAAGCTATAAACGGCCTATGTAGGTATAACTAGTAACACAGGCTAAGAAATACACAGGTGAAGAAATTTATTGTACAACATGGTGACTGTAATTACTAACAATGTATTGTTTACCAAAAAACTGCTGAGAATAGATTTTAAGTGTTTTCACCAGAAAAAAAGTATGTTAGGTTATATATATGTTAATTAGCCTGATTTTGCTATTCTACATATTTCAAAAGGTGTTGTACACCATAAGTGAAAGGTGGTCTTACTAATAACCTATCTAACAGAGGAAAATAAACTATCAAACAGAAAGTAAGAGAAATAAATTCATGACACAACTACCCTTTGTCTAATTAAAACGTGTGTGGCCTAACTTGTTATCTCTGAGTTCTTTCTCAGCCTTGAAAAAGTTCATGAGCTGATAGCAGGAGTGCAAGCTTCCCCTGCTTCCTCAAGGAGAGACAGTACCAAGTGCCTCCTGCTATCAATCCCCTGCATTAGAAACAGAAAAAGCCAACACAGCAGCTTCACAGGTTATCAGTCCCCTGAAACAGAGAAAAAAAAAATAAAATAACACATTTACTACCCTTTGAAAGAACCCAACATTTCCTTCCTCCCTGTGTGTCGTGGTCTCTCTCTCTCTCTCAAATAAACTTTTAGTTTTGTATATCCTAGTCACTCAGAATTCTTTCTCCCCTCCCCACAAACGGACTTCACACCCTGACCGTAGTATATACACTTTTGTCAATCAGAAAAAAATGCACAAAAATAGCACATACAGATTATAAGTGTTATATGTGCATGTGCAGTACTAGCAATAGACCAATAATCTTGGGAATGTTATCAATGGCGCTTTATGGTCTCCAAGTAGTTGGTTAGTTGATAGAATTAAATGCAAGACGAAAAAAATTTTGGGGGTGAGAGAGTGTTCTAAAATTTGACTGTGGTGATGGATGCACAACTATATAAATTTACTAAAATTCATCAAATGGTACACTTAAAATGAATTAATCTTATGGTATGTAAATTATACTTCCATAAAGCTATCTGAAAAACACTTCTAGTTAAAACCTATTGGGCAGTTTTTAGATGAACAGCTACATGTAGCTGGAAAACCTCTTCTGGGAAACCAAGCAAATTAATCTGAGGCTTCTTTTGTAAAGAAGAAAACTAGACATGGAGGGGTGCTGGCCCGTGTGCAGAGGCCTCACATGGTGGGTGTCAGCTCCTGTGCAGGGGCCTCATCTGGGGGGTATCTAGCCATGTGCAGAGGGCTCACGTGGGGGGCGTCGGGTCGTGTGCAGAGGGCTCACATGGGGATGTCGGGCCGTGTGCAGAGGGCTCATGTGGGGGGCAGCGGGCCATGTGCAGAGGGCTCATGTGTCAGGCCATGTGCAGAGGGCTCACGTGGGGGGCGTCAGGCCATGTGCAGAGGGCTCATGTGTCAGGCCATGTGCAGAGGGCTCACGTGGGGGGTGTCGGGCTGTGTGCAGAGGGCTCATGTGGGGGGTGTTGGCCCATGTGCAGAGAATGAGAAGCAGAGAAAGTGAACATTTAGTAAGGCATATAGTGAATATGGTTTTGGAAAGCCACACGCACAGTACCGTTATATTTGATAGTTTGAACTGTTCATTCTAAATTTCAGTTTTTTAAAAGCCCTTTTAGTGAATTGAATTGCATGTGTTTTTCTTTAAAATTTACAACTACATTTTTGAAATAATGTTTTTTGGCATTCTAGAGACCTTTAAAAATCTTTAAAAGAATGACAATAGAAATCAACTTGCAAATCAACTTACACCTTACAGATGTAAATTAGCACAAGGAGAATGTCAATGAAGAATAATAAAAGATATTAGGAACTAACCTTTAGGTTTGCTAGAAGAAATTCTATGTAACAGTTATTAAATGTGTCCCATGCATCCTCTCAAGGCACTCTGAGGTCTTCATTTTAAGAATGAGAAAACTTGAGATTGTAACTCACTCAAGGCTAGAACTAGTCAAAGTGCAAAGCTGTCAGTCACTCACTCACTGCTGCTATGGCCTCTACCTCCTGTAGCAACCCTGATGACCTCCCTTTCTTTGAAAAATAATTACTCCAAGTTCCCTGAACACACACACCATGCTCTCTGGCCTCTGCCCTACTTCTCTGACTGAACTGTCGTTTTTCTTTTCCTTCCGACAATTCACACACATGCTAACACACACATTCCCACGCATCTACACACTCCATCCATCCTTTTCTTGGTTTATCACAATGCAGGTGTCACCTCTTCTGGGGACCCTTTATTGATCCTCTATAACTCAAATAAGTACCCTCCACTTATTGCTCTTTATATGTGCCCGCTAACTTCTGAGATGTTGTTCTAAGATTTCTGCCACTAAGTTTTCTGACTTTTTCCATCCTCTTAGTTTTCTAAGTATCATAAGGGCAGCATTGGAATGGGGTCAATAAATCTGCTTCATAGACAGACACTCTGTCCCTTTCCTTACCCCATGCTTACCAGAAAATTACTGGTATCTAGCAGGGCTAAGAGTCAAGGACCAACATTTTCCATGGAATATGAAATCCATTCTGAAAACTCATTACCTCTCAAATCCAATCTCTCTTCTCCATTTCCTCAGCAATGGCTCTCATTAAGCCCAGCATTAGTTCTGACATGGTTTAATGTAACTGACCAGGGGTTCTACCTGTTACACAGCTTATCTTCCCTCCAACACACCCCCGCCAACCCTGCCCACAAAAATAAAAATAAAGAAGAAAAAACTAAGTGCATAATTTTTATAAAATGTAATACAGCTAAGTAGAAAAAACGTCAAGGATACCATAATTTAAATTATATAAAATAAAATTTACATATATTTAAATATATAGACAAAACTAAAAATACTCTAAAATGTAAACAGTGGTAACATGTAAGTGATGAATACAGCAGATTTTTATTCTCTTATTTTTCTAATATCCTACAATCACCCGTATGTATTACATTTACAGCCAGAAAGCATTAAAATTTTACTATATTTTAAAAATGTATGCTCAGCGTTTATGTATTAAGTCAAAAATTAAAAAAAGAGAAAAATAATTTTTTTTATTATATAAAAAGACATATATATATATATATATATAATGTCTCGCTGGGCACAGTGGCTCACACCGGTTAACACCAGCAACTCAGGAGGCTGAGGTAGCAGGACTGTTTGAGGTCTGGAGTTCCAGACCAGCCACAGGAACAACACAGGAAGACCTCATCTCTAATAAATAAAAATAGGTCAGGTACAGTGGCTCATGCCTATAATCCTAGCACTCTGGGAGGCCAAGGCTGAAGGACTGCTTGAGCTCAGGAGTTCAAGACCAGCCTGAGCAACAGCAAGGCCCCACCTCTACTAAAAAAAAAAAAAAAGAAAAAAACAGAAAGAAATTAGATGGACAACTAAAAACACTACACACACACAAATTAGCCAGGCATGGTGGCACATGCCTGTAGTCCCAGCTACTCAGGAGGCTGAGGCAGGAGGATTGCTTGAGCCCAGGAGTTGGAAGTTGCTGTGAGCTAGGCTGACGCCAGGGCACTCTAGCCCGGGCAACAGAGTGAGACTCTGTCTCAAAAATAAAATAAAATAAAATAAAAAATAAAAGTCTATGACAATAGGCAATCAAGTTCTTGCCCTCAAAGGAGCATCCACACTAGCTGGGAAGACAACACACAACTCAAATGACAAGTGCAGGCCTATAATCCCTTTCCTGCAGTCTTGAAACCCAAATGTCAATTAAACTGAAAAAAAAAAATAAAATAAAATTTTCTTTTTTACAAGTTTGTGGCAAACTCTTTGACAGGAAAATTTGGTCTTAACTGCTGGAAGCTATAAATATAGTTCTTATTTATGTCAGTATGTAAATTTTTTCACTAAAGCAATATATATATATTTTTATCACAAAATCAAAATATTTATTTTGTTCTTTTGCACATGACACTGTTAAAACATTCCTACTACAGCAATACTGCTCTCCAGGAACTTACAATCTAAAATAGTCAACATTAATTGTAGACCCAGTGATTAAGGCATTACATCAAACACAGTCTTTGTATCTTTAGATGTATCTTCTGAAGAAGCAGCTGGAGAGGGCAGGTTCAAAATTAAATGACATGAAAGTGTACCCCCTGCCCCTTCCTCCCAGCTCCTTATAAGGAACCCCTTGTAACTAGAACTCAAGACTAGTACCCATAGTCTGAAAGGGAATTCCAGACAACCCTATCACAGAAGTAGTGAAGAAACCTTAATTTCCAATCCCCTGGTGGACACACTGAGGATTCCCTATTTGTGGCCAAAGGGGCTGCTGAGTGTTCCTCCATCATAGACTGGAGACAGCACCTAAGATTCTACAACTCTGAGGAGGGTACTAGGTTTTCCTTTACCCAGCCTTATACAAGTTCCAGCAGGACCATTGCTTTTTTTTTTTTGAGAAAGAGTCTCACTCTGTTGTCCTGTGTAGAGTGCAGTGGTGTCATCACAGCTCACGGCAACCTCAAACTCCTGGGCTCAAGTGATCCTCCTACTTCTTGGTTCAAAGCCATACAAGTACACATTCCTTGCTCTCCAATATTTAACTGGCACCCATAGAGAAAGTACAAACTTCAACAGGGTAGTACTGTTTTGTGTCCTCTACCCTGAGGCACAATTAGATCTAGCACCAAGGAGGGCAGGATTTAACAGACCAGCAAAGGAAGACTCCCTTTACAGAGGTAGTTTGGATTGCCATGTAGACTAACAACTGAACAGAATAAAAATCCAATGTGATTCTTCATTGAGAAATGAGGTTTTGGCCACTTGTGATCTAATTAAGCCCCCCAGAGTAATAAAGATGGTCACGTGGAGGATAAGGGTCTGCCTGGGATGGGCATGTATGTGAGGAAAATCTGGCCATCAGCAAACCACACCCTCAGTCTCTCCAAAGAGAAAGCTGGAATTTTGCCCTTCTGGACCATGACTAGTGGATTTACACTGCAGATCAAAGGTCTCTCTCAACATTCAAACTACTTCCAAGAAACCACAGGTCTTTAAAAATAAGGACTAGTGATTTCATATAGGCTAGTGAAAATACTCTGGCTATAGCCCTTTGTGCATGTGCACGCGGGCACACATATACACAGCTGGAGCTGAATAAATGTGGAACGATTAAGTATTGAGTAGCAGCATTTACTAAGTGAGTTAAGCCCAAACATACCACCCACCAGTCAGCAATTCAAACGTCCATGCCCAATATCAGGTAATCCACCCCACCAGGTGATGCTTTCTTAGTTTAACGCACACATTCTCAAAGTGTGGTCCCCTGACCATCAGCAGGAGCATCACCTGGGAACTTAGAAACACCAGTTTTGGCACTCTGGGGTTGAGGCCCAGCAACTAATGTTTTAACAAGTCCTCCAAGTGATTGTGATACATGCTAAAATTTGAAAATCACTGGCATAGAGGCAGACATGTGAAAACAATAATGAGAAAAAATAATTTAAACTCTTTTGCTTCTTTCAGTTGGGACAAACCAAGATACCAAGTCAAAGTAAAATGCCAATGGTTTTATTTTAAAATATCTATTTTCTCAAATTGATTTTTTTTTTTTTTTGACTGGCAAGTTCATTCTAATCAAAATGTTAAGTGGGAACACAAGTTGATGAGTTAGCCATTCAAGAATACACTCTCTGCAAGCTCTAGGCCTGGATTTAGTCTCAAACCACTCTTCTGCACACTACAAAGATTTCAGTGCAACACATCACACCTAGAGAAAGGCACGATGTATCTCCCACTCATTAAGTCCAAGGACAGAACCTTATTTTCTAATGTTAAATTTGAGTTCTGGGTTTAGTTGGGCAAGAATTTCCCTCAGCTGCCATTAATCCTGGCTGAAATTAATCCCTTTCCATCACTCACACAGGGAAAAAACCCACCAAATTCACTTACTGTCTGTTTAAAAAAATTCAGAAGATTAAAAAGGAAGCAGATGATCAAGTCATTGAATAGAAAGCTACCTGGATTAGACAAGAACATATAACTTAGATCTAGAATGATGGGGGAGGAAAAGACATCTCATGGGTGGCTTCTCCTCAAGAGATATGGGAATCTCAGCTTATTAGAAAAAAGTTTGGGAGGTTACCACTTTAGCTCAGAGACTGTAAACTAAACTTCTGCTGAGCAGGGGCATGTGTATGTGTGTGTGTATAAAGAGACAGGAGCAAAAAGGGATGATTGGACCAGGAATCACATCTTCCAGTCTCGAACTGCTTCCCACTATAATCGGTAAGGCCACGCCATGGAGTTAGACATTAATGGCAATGCTCTGTGATGTCCACTACCACTGCCTTCTTCCAGCTGAAGAGAAAGTATCCCGTACCAGCCCCTGCTGCTACAGCAATGCAGAGGTACCCGTTATACGTCATGAAGATGAGCATAAGGAAGTAGCTGATGACCACCTGGATGATATGCAGCACTGTTTGCAGGAGGTGGGGAAAGCTCAGCATCTGTTGCCCAACAGTTTTGTGGGTCTCCATAAGGATGGTTCCATTTGGTCCTGGGACAGGCATGGAATTGTACCGAATGCTGACTTGTGACTTACGAAGCAAGCTCTCTCGGGCTATCTTGAGTCCTTCATAGAACATTGCTAGTAAAAACACTGCCACAAAAGCTCCAGCCATTTCTCCAGCTGTATTGATCACCAAACCGGAAAACAAGAGTTCCACATTTTTAAAGCCAAAGTAGAAGGCCATAGGCATCATCATCATGTCGCTGTCTCCTCCACCATAGGAGTGTGAGGATGAAGTTGTCGGGTGATGGTGAGAATGATTCATTTTTCCAGGCAAAGTTGAGGGTCAGCAGAAGATTCTTCCCAGGTCGAATCCAGCCACTGGTGCCTCCCTCTCAGAATCTTAACCTCACCTTTTCACGACTCCTCAGAAGCCCCCTCCGCTTCTCTAAAGCAGTATTAATATGTTCAATTGCGGTACTACCCCAGGCCCCACTGGGCATGTTGAGTAATCCATAGTATGTGCATCTGAAAAAAACTCTGATTTCTGAAGGACATTTGTCCCCTGCAGTAGAAGTGCCAAATGAATCACACAGACAGCACCTTGACTGCTAAGAGGTTAAGAAGGGAGTCACGGGGGTATGTGGCCATCCAAGATTTTCCAGACACTGTGACTCTTGAACTGAACCTTGAACAATATGCAGATTTGGGCAGGCAAAGTAGGATGAGGACCCACCTCACAAGGGAAACAGTGTGAACACAGTAACAGATGGGAAGAGGACCAGGAGACTAAGAGCAGATCTCATAGGTCCCTCAAAACTTGGCTGAAGAGTTTCATGATCTAATGTATGACAGGAAGCCAATGAAGGTTTTTTGAAGTGGGTAAAAATTGAATGAAAGTGGAGTTTAGGAGCTTTGGGCTCCTAAACTAATGGTTTGCAGAATGGAGTTAAAGAAAAGAACAGAATTGTTAGGATACTTTTTCTTAAATGGGGGAGGGGTCGCATTTATGAACCAGGTACACAATGCCACATGTTTTATGTACTTCATATTATTTATTTCACACACCACTTTACATACAAGGAAGGGGATTCTGACAGGTCAACTATTAATAACTTGCCCCAAGTCACACATAGGCAATAAATAAATAAATAAATCAAGATCAGATTCAAATAGCTCTACCCTCTATTACTCATGACTACCCTTAGGTGGAAATAATGATAGAGGACTGAACTAGAGTGGAAGCACTCAGAACACAACAGAGAGCTAAGGAGAGGAAGTATCCAAGACTCTGAGATTTTGAACAATAACAATCCAAAAAATGGGGGATTGGGGAAACTCTTATCTCAATACTTAAAAACAAACAAACAAACAAACAAAAACCCCCGGAAAGATAGAAAAGGGCCATATCTAATGCTGTGCTTATGCAGTGTACTTTTCAACAGCCAGAAACCACCACTTGTATTTTCCTTACTGCATCCCTTTCTCTTAATTAGAAAACATGTTTATCACAAGGTAAGTGAATATTCTGATTGATTCAGTAGATTCCACCACCTACCTAATTCACCCTCTCTGATCCAGGACATCCCATGCGAATGAACATCAAGTCCCACTCAACCATACATATAATCTATTGAGAGGCTACCCTTTTCGGGTTTTTCATGTCAAAAGTTTGGAAAAAGCTGTACCCACTTAGGTGATTCAAAATATGAAGCACTTCAAAGGCTTCAGGAACTCATGAAGTTACCAGTTGATATCGTTTAATCCAGTGTTTCCCCTATTACTTGGAAAGCAGTGATGAGTTAATTCATTTTCCCATTCTATTTTTCTGTGTTGAAATGATGAATCTGTTATGAAATCATGAAAGTTTGCTGTTGCCAAGCAAAATCATTTACACCAGTGTATCTGAGCTAAAAAAAATTGGCCTTTCTTTGCCACATGTAAATTTATTCTACATTTGGAGATTCATGCAAGGCAGCATGTTAGAAACTAGGTGGTGGGGTAATATGTTTTACAGAGATTAATTGGATTTATTTTGCAGAATTCTTTTTTTTAGAGACAGTGTCTCATTATGTTGCCCAGGCTAGCGTGCAGTGGCATCATCAGAGCTCACTGCAACCTCAAACTCCTGGGCTCAAGTGATCCTCCTGCTTTAGTCTCCTGATTAGCTCAGAATACAAGTGCAAGCCTCCATGCCTGGCTTATTTTGTTCAGTTTTTAAATATACTTCTCAATATATGTGCATTTCACTAACTTTCTTCATTATGTTTTTCTGGCACGTGTATATTTTTCAACCCAAACTCCTTAAATCCCCCATAATCACTTGTATTAAAAACCCAAACTGTTCTGCACAGCCAAAGAAACTGTCACAAGAGCAAACAGACAACCTACAGAATGGGAGAAAGTATTCGCAAGCTACAAATCTGATAAAGGGCTGATAACTAGAATCTATTTAGAACTCAGAAAAATCAGCAAGGAAAAATCAAACAACCCTATCAAAAAGTGGGCTAAGGACATGAACAGAAACTTTCCAAAAGAAGACAGAATAATGGCCAACAAACATATGAAAAAATGCTCAACATCTCTAATCATCAGGGAAATGCAAATCAAAACTACAATGAGAGCCGGGCGCGGTGGCTCACGCCTGTAATCCTAGCACTCTGGGAGGCTGAGGCGGGCAGATTGCTCGAGGTCAGGAGTTCGAAACCAGCCTGACCAAGAGCAAGACCCCGTCTCTACTATAAATAGAAATTAATTGGCCAACTAATATATATAGAAAATTAGCCGGGCATGGTGGCGCATGCCTGTAGTCCCAGCTACTCGGGAGGCTGAGGCAGAAGGATTGCTTGAGCCCAGGAGTTTGAGGTTGCTGTGAGCGAGGCTGACGCCACGGCACTCACTCTAGCCTGGTCAACAAGCGAGACTCTGTCTCAAAAAAAAAAAAAAAAAAAAAAACTACAATGAGATATCATCATTTATCTCCAGGGAGAATGGCCTTTATTAACAAGTCCCAAAACAATAAATGTTGGCATGGATGAGGAGAGATAAGACACTCCTACACTGCTGGTGGGACTGCAAACTAGTTCAACCTCTGTGGAAAGCAATATGGAGATACCTTAACGTGATACAAGTGGATCTACCATTTGATCCAGCAATCCCACTACTGAGCATTTACCCAAAAGAACGAAAGACAATTTATAAAAAAAACCCACCTGCACTCAAATGTTTATAGCAGCACAATTCACAATTGCAAAGATGTGGAAACAACCGAAGTTCCAATTAATACATGAGTGGATTAATAATATGTAGTATATACATAGCATGGAGTACTATTCAGCTATAAGAAACAATGGTGATATAGCACCTCTTGTATTTTCCTGGATAGAGCTGGAACCCATTCTACTAAGTATCCCAAGAATGGAAAAATAAGCACCACATTCACTCACCAGCAAATTGGTTTCACTGATCAACACCTAAGTGTACATAATAGGAATTACATTTATTGGGTGTTGGGCAGGTGGCTTATGAAGGGGAGGAGGGGATGGGTATATACATACATAATGAGTGCGATGCCCACCATCTGGGAGATGGACACACTTGAAGCTCTGAATCGAGGGGGGAGGAGGGCAAGGGCAATATACGTAACCTTAATAGTTGTACCCCCATAATATGCTGAAATAAAAAAATAAAATATTTTCTCAGCAAAACAAACAAAAAATCCAAACTCTGAACCATGGCCAAGAGTCTATTCAGTCAGGCACCTGTCAACCGCATCTTCTACCTCCTTGTCCTGGCTCTTGCTACATTGCAAAAGCCTTCTCTCTGTTCCTTGAACCAGCCTTGACAGTTTTCCCTACCTGTACTAACACCCTTCCTCTAACTTGTTAGTGGGTACCATTCAGCTTTTAGCCTGCTGTCAACTCCTCAAAAGGGTCTTCCAAGACTACCATCTACACCAAACCTATTTTTACTGTGTTACCAATTATCTTCACTTGAAGTCATCTTTTAGGTATTTATTGTCTCTTGCACACACTAGACTGCAAGCTCCAGAGGGAGCTCTGTCTTTTTATGTTTGCCCAGGACCCTGAACATTGCCTGGCAAATAGTAGATATTTGGTAAGCATTTGTTGCATGAACTAATGGATGAAAACAACACGTAAGCCACCCAGCTAAAACATGAGTTTCCAGTCAAGACTGGAGACTATCCTTTGAGGATCAATTATTAGCAGACCCAACATAACATAGCTACTCAGTCACATCTATTGAACAAATGACCAACTTAACTGCCATAATTAATTTCTAAATTCATTCAAAAGTGCTTCAAGAAAGAAGTGAATTTTGAGATTTGTCTCGTATTATTTTTCACACATGCCAGTGCTTATACTTTTGTTTCAGGGCTTTGCACGTACTGTTCCCTCTGCCTGGACAGCTCTACCCCTGAAAAGCCACATCACTCACTGCATACTTCATTCAGCATCTTTTCAAATGTCACCTCTTTTCAGAGATGGCTTCCTGGACTAAAAGAGCACCCACCTCAGTCACTCTCCATTCCTTCACTCTATTTTCCAAGTAAATTTTATCAGGCATATTGATTTCTTATTTACTGTGCTTCTTCCTCTTAGATCATAAGCTCCATGAGAGCAGGGACTTTGTGTTTTGTTCACTGCTATCTCCCTGGAACCTTACAACACTGATGAGCACCTACTACATATCTGTTGTACTATTTAAAAAAGCTAGATACCCTTGATTTTTCCCTCAAAAGCATTATCATTCTTCATATTTATTCTGGTGAACTGACTGTGACAAACAGAAAGAGGTGGAGACAACTATTCTAAAACCACAGAGAATGAAACCTAAAGACAAAGCTGAGGTGCTAGGGCAGGTCTGTTTTTAAGTTAAAAAGTGAGGGGTTATATAAATATGCATGCTATCATCCCTGAAAATTAAAATACTACACAGATTCTAGAATCTTAAATTAGTTAAGGAACTAAATATTTGTAAACAAATCTTTTTTATATCTCCTTAGTGATAAAGTCTATAAAACCAAATTGTGGCCATTCACAGTGACTCATGCCTATAATTCTAGCACTTTGGGAGGCTGAGGCAGGAGGGTCACTTGAGGCCAGGAGTTTGAGCCCAGCCTGGGAAACAGTGAGACTGCCCCATCTCTACAAAAACAAAAATTTTAAAAATAAGCTGGGCTGGGCGCAGTGGCTCACGCCTGTAATCCTAGCACTCTGGGAGGCTGAGGCAGGAGGACTGCTTAAGCTCAAGAGTTTGAGACCAGCCTGAGCAAGAGTGAGACCCCGTCTCTACTAAAAATAGAAAAAATTAGCCGGGCATGGTGGCGCGTGCCTGTAGTCCCAGCTAGTAGGAAGGCTAAGGCAGGAGGATTACTTGAGCCCAGGGTTTTAGGTTGCCGTGAGCTAGGCTGATGCCAAAGCACTCTAGCCCAGGCAACAGAGTGCGATTCTGTCCCCCAAAAAAAAAAAAAAAAAAAGCCAGGTGTGATGGCATGCACCTGTAGTCCCAGCTACTCCTGGGCTGAGGCAGGGAGGATTGCTTGAGTCCAGGAGTTGCGAGATTGCAGAGAGCTATGATGATGCCACTGTACTCTATCCCAGGCAACAGAGTGAGACCCTGTCTCAAAAAAACAAAGAAAACCAAAACAACAACAACAAATTGTAAGCTTAGCCTTGATTTGAGAAAGTGTAACAAATCTGGGAATTTTAGAGAACACATCACAGGCATTCAAAATTATCAGCAAGATCAAGGTCTACTTGTTATCTTGTTTGACCACATGTGAAGGTGCTTTGACATTTTAGAATATTAGCAATATATTAACATAAAAAGTGTTATTGATATAAAAAAGACTCAAACTAGAAATGAAAAATTCATTTTGTTGCCTTTAACCACTTCCGTACGACACTCACCGGCTGGGAAACCTTGCCCACAGTCGGCACTCATAGTCCGCATGATAGTCTGTGCTGTGCATTGACGAGGAATCTGTTTTGCTCTTGTGTGATGAGGAAAGCTTTAAAGCACTGAAAGCTTGCTTTACTTTACAGGCAGCTTTACTTGTAATGTAAATCAGAATAGGTAACATATACATATGTTTTCATTATGTTATTTTTAAATGTTCACAATTTTATTTTGATAAATGAAAAATTAGAAAAGTCATATCACAGCTGTCGTAAAAGTCGCTGTATGCGTTCATCTGTGGCTGTTGACTATAGTAGATGCTCATACTGAAGTGGTTAAATGAGAGGATGACATTTTACTTTCTCCGTAGAACTACATTTGGGATAATTCTCTACCAAAACACAATAAAAAAAAAACATGTACCACAATACCTCAATTATAATAGACTTATCTAAATCCCAAGTTGTTGTTAAATAAAATGGTTGGACCTAAGTGTAGCCTCTTCCCACAGGCCCTCAGTTATAGATGAAGATTTTTTAGAATAAAAGCTTTGCTTTCCAAGGCCATCTCACAGACATCTGTAACATAAGCTGATCCAGGATGTCTGCCTTTTTCTTAGACACTTCCTCCACATTAGAGAACCATTCCTGAGGCCTTACATCTCAGGGAAAGAAATCCAATGAATGAAAACGATGTGGCACCCACACATTAAGAACCTACCCCATGCTAGATACAACCTAGGAAAAGAAACAAAGAAAGAACCTACCCCAACATCTCACACATCAAGAACATACCCCAACACCTCAAACCACCCTCTGCTTTCTAATGACAGCAATAAACTACTTAGAATCAAATCCAAACTCCTTACATTGCCCATGAAGTCCTATATGATCCAGTCCCTGGGTAATTTTCCCTTCTTCACACAGCAGTTTAGGAAACTGGATGTTTCTCAAATATCCCATTATTTCAAGCCTGTTCCTGTCTTTGAGCCTTTGCACTATTTCCTCTCCCTGAAATATTTCATCCCTTCACCCTTTCATGGCTGGTTTCTGCACAAATGTCACCTCCTCGGAGAAGTCTTCTTTGCCTGTCACATCATTCTGTCATTTGTCACTATGTGAAATTATCTAATTAATTTACTTGTGTTGTTTCTTTCACCCACTGGAATGCATGCTCCTTGAGGGAAGGAACCTTGTCCATTTTTGTTTCTTCACTGTATTTCCAGAGTTCACCTGGATGCTCAATGTTGTTAAATGAATAAAGAAACAAATTAGCTTCAAAACCAGAGCACTGCTCTCACATCCATCCAATCCTGTATAGAAAATGGTTTCCCTCTGTCTCAGACCTCAACTAGCAGAAATCAAAGTAACAAGAAGGCGAGAGAGAATTCCCTCACATTGATGGAAAGAAGTGAAAGATAAGGTGTTGCCAGCACAGTGGTTCATACCTGTAATATCCTAGCACTTCGGGAAGCTGAGGAGAATCATTTGAGGCCAGGA